AGTAATTGTACTTAGCTGTGATTAGAGGCTATCAGAATGAGATTTTTATTAATGATTTTTCCAGGGGCTAAGCATTTATATTCACTTAATTGATATAGCCACATTCAAATGGCCATTACCAGGAAGTTACTCAGAGTAAAATAACAATGTTAATACCACCTAGAAATTATAGCTCATCCTGTTAGCATAGCATTGTTGCCATGTAATTAGGGATGCAACTGCTGGCTTGATGAGAAAGAGAAATTGCAGAATTATTAATGGGTTACAGGCTTCTCTGCAGTGGCATGGCAGAAGCACAGGAACAAGATCTGGGAGGGCTCCCAAGGTGATCTCCCAGTGTGGGGTTGGCACCAGTGCTGGTGCTCAAAACCCTCTGAGCAGGGATCCTCTGGGCAAGTCTTGGCTGCCTTCCTGTGGGGTTAGTCAAGTAAATCAATCATTACACTGACCAAAAAGCAACAAATGAGCGCAGAAGTGTGTTGTCTGGAAAGCAGCAGATGCAGTGCCCTTGGCTGCCCTGCCACCAGGAGCTGTGCCTATCCCTGCCCACCCAGCATCCAGCCTGAAACCTCTGCAGCTCCCGGGCCATGGCTGGTGCAGGTTATTGACTCCAGCTGCACTTGAGTGCTGCTGCCAGAAATGCCATATTTTTTATACCTGTCTACAAGTCACTTGGGTTCTTAAGTGTAACCCTTGATGACCCTCAGGGGAGGTGGGAGTTTTTGCCAGTACAAGCACTTCATTTGGTGTCACTGTCCTGGAGCAGCAGGGCTGTTGCTTCCCGTGCCACACAGTATTGCCTGGGGGAGCCTGGCCTCGCACAAACGCAGCTTCTTATGTTTTCAAAACCTATTGGGAATTAATTGCTGTCATCTGCTGAAGAGGCCTCTTTAAAATTCAGAATAATCCACTTGTGACGTTGCACATCTGCTGATGGCCAGTCCTGCTGCAGCTGGATCCTGAAGGGCTCCAGTTATGCTGCAGGAGCTCTCTGCTAGCTCTGACTTACCAAAAGCTCTTTGGCCCCGGCATCAGCCGCAAGCACCGCCGGCATTCCCACTTCGGGAGCCTCTTGATGGGTCTGGCTGAGAATCAGAAAGTTTTGTCATCTCGTGGCCATTGGCAGCCAGGCTCCTGCCAGCTGATCCAGTGCGTGCCCACCCTGCCATCCCATGCCTGCCAGAGCATCTCAGCTGGAGCTTTATCTCCTGCAGAGGGTTTGAACCTCTTTTCGATATTGGGTATATCCAGCAAACCTGAACTATCTGTATTTTGAGCTATTTTCTATTTTGGTGATAAGTTTCAGTGCTTTCTCTACATACAGTATTTTATATAACACAGCTATAAATACAAATATATATTTACAAGGCTGGGCTGCCCAGGGTAGTCCCACTGATGTGTTGTAGAAATGTTTCACTAAATATGAAATATATTTGATTATTTTATAAGCTATGAGTTTGGTATTTTGGTACTTTTTTCTTTCTGTGCATATTACTGTGCTAAATGTCAAATTAAATCTAAATAAAGTTACAGCATTATCACTGTTTATTTGCTTGTGTGCTAGATATGCTGGGTTTTTTGTTTTTTGTTTTCAGTGCACGTCTCTGTTAAGAAAAGGAGTTATATCACTCTTAGGTCTGTTGGGGCTCTACAGTGCTTTTAGAAGTGCTGTTGGGAATTGTCATTGAACTGAGAGAGACTGGCAGCTGGGATGAATTAACCAGGGCAGGCTAAAATGGCACACAGAACTTGGGCTAAAAGGTGAGCACTTAGAATCCCCAGCCTTCTGTCACCATGGCTCTCCCTCCCGAGGGAGGAATGAGATCTATGAGATCCTGCTGTTTCCAGGCTTACCCTTTGGACAGCTGTTTTGATATTTGTGCTGTGTTCAGTTAGCTTGCTGGGGCAATGCCAATGCAGGTGGATATGAGAGTCTCTGTAAATTCTGGGAAAAGAAAGTGGACAGAGCACAAGAGGTGAGGTACGAGTGCCACAGCTGTGTGACCACAGGCAGAGGTCAGGGTCTTCCCCAAAACTTTGAGTCTGGATTTAAGGACTCGTGTCTCTGCCTGAATGGGCTTTAGGATGCTTCAGCAGTAGTTGAGCTCTGTCTTACTGATGAGAAATTATCCTTTCACCCACTCCAAGTCTCACAGCAACAACCTTTGGTGGAGCAGCAATACTCCATGCCCAGTGAAATTGGTTCTCCTTAATGCTGGGCAGGCATTTTCTCTGAGCATGGAAAGAAACTAGGCTCCAGCAATAAAATGCAGAAAAAATGGGAAGTATCAATGTACAGGCAAAAATAATGTCTTGTGCTTCCTGTGGCTGCTATAGGTTTCTGGATTTATTTGTGGTGCTGGAGAGCAGAGTCCCAGCACATGCAAATAGAAAATCAATGGGCAAAATTGCATCCCCTCTGCACAGTGGGGCTAGCCCTGGAGCTGAGGGCCATTCAGAGGTAGCTCCTGTGAACAGATAAAACAGGACAGCTGCTGTAGGAGACAGGCATTCACCTCAGCCTAGAGGGATTATAGAACAGGGGAAGTAATATCAGATCTCTGTGCCAAGCACTTGCATGGTCACAGGGGTGAATGGTGCAGCAGCTGAGTGTTGCAGACCAGCTCCACAAGCCCTGGGTGCCTGCTCCTGCTCCTCTCCAGCACAGGTGTGTGCCTGTGCCTCTTTGGCAGCCTCTCCCTGGCATGGGTTTGCAGGAATGTCTTGTAACCAAGGGACCTGGGCATGAGGGAGGGCAGAAAAGAGGGCAATGCCTGCAGCCATGTGGGATGAGGAGGACTCAGGAGATAAAGAAACAGCTGTGAAGGATATTATGAGAAGCCTCTGGTGTGGGAGAGAGTTTTGTTGAATGGTTCATGCAGCTGGTTAATGTCACCACGCTGCACACAAACATCTCACAGGTGAGGCCAAGCACAACTCCCCTCCCAAGCAGCCTCAGAGAAAGTGAGCCAGCTGCTCCTTGGCCAAAGCACTGTGCCTTGTGCTCATGTGGTCAGCAGAATGTGGTGGGACAGAATGCCTTTGCTCCCTCCAAGACCACATCTTGTCTTTGTTTTAATCATGCCTAAATCCAAGACAAAGCACTCAAAGAAGAAGACATTAAACAGAACCCTGGTGAGCAGAGCTTCAAAAGTTGGTGGAACATGCAGGATGTTGATGCTTGGGTCCTTGCAATTAAGATGGCCCATGTGGGCAAGGCATCAACATTTGCTGAAAATTTTAGAGACCTGGAGAGCTGGTGGAGAGTGGCTGTCAGGCTCCCAGCTCATGTCTGTACCTCATTGCAAGTGATGCACCTGAGGACATGTGGGCAGGCAGCAGCAGAGGAGGAGCACTCTTGGGCTGCAGAGTGGGGGTCACTCCACAACTCCACCTCCTTCTACCACATTTAGTACTTAACTCCTTCTGGGCTGACCACTCTGCAGTGGAAAGTCAGAGGCCATTGCCAGGAGCAGCCCTACAGCCATCACTCACATGCACTTTGGGTCCTGCTGAGATCCACCATCATTTGTTCATCACCAGCAGAGCAGCTGATTAGATGAGAGCTGCTGGCTTGTATCTTCAGTTATCTCCAGGGAAATCTATTATCTAATGGCTCTCCACAGAGGTCCTTTTTACAGGCTTTTCTACTACTGATGATGAAGTGATGCTCAACATGTTATGAAAACAAACCTAATTCCTATGTCTCAGAAGCAAACAACTTGATGACTTATTTCTATATAAACAGAAGTCTTGAGGCTGTATATTGCTGGGTTTATTTTGTGGGACAAACATCAGCTGAGGCCTGTATTGCTCTATCATCTGCTGCTTAATAGATGGAGGTGAAGTATCAGGTAAACTGAAAGTCTGCTCCTTTTCCCAAGTTGAGATTCCTCTTTTTTCTCTTTTCTGTGGGCTTTGCACTGCTGGCAGTAGCTCAGCCGTGTGCTGGTCTCCTCCTCCTCCCCCGTTAGCAACCACATGGCTGACGAGAGGCTTCAGGCTTTGGAGATGACACTGCAGGTATCAGTGACATTTCACCAGAGATGGCTTTGCTGCAAGGGCAATTGATTTAATGATTTTGTTACTAGAGTGCTGCTGCAACCACTTCCCCAGGATGAGATTTCATCACTCCCAAAGTAGGTGAGAAGACAGTCGACAACCTAAAAATACCGGCAGTTTAGGAATAACAGGAAGCCACGGCAGCAGGAGAACTAGCAGGGAAGAAAGCTGCCGGGAATTTCTCCTCTTTTTGGATGCGGTGGGATCGATGCCCGGGGCTCTGGCTGCCCCCGCAGGCAGACGCGGTTGTTGGATTGCCCAGGAGAGCGGCTCGGCTCGCTCAAGGAGCGGCGGTGTAAAGTTACGCCCTCATTAAACCTAAACCCGCCCTGCACCCAGACACAGGTGGGGGTCTGCAGAAAGTGGGGAGCTCTTAATGCTGTTTCAGCCCCTTGTGTGTTCCCCTGTTCCCAGGGTGTGCCAGGGCCAGCACTGAGTTACTGCTCAGCACCTCTCACCTCTCTTTCTCAGAGACCAGGAGGAACTACCTCCTCCCTGTTGGAAAGGATGGATAAATATAATTGCCTGGCAAAAGATTTACAATAGTACAGCCAGGATGAAAACAATCCCCCCTTCTGGCTGGACAATACCCTTACCTACAGACAGGTCCAAAAGTCAAATGGACTGTTCCATCTCAACCCCCAAAATGTATGGGTCATCCCACACCTGTAACCCACCCCTGAAACATCAAGTGTCTGTAACCCCATTGGCCCAAGTCTTGTTCCAGCCCACCTTGGAGCCCCCTGATAAGGGGTCTCCAGGGGGCCAGACGATCTCTTGGAACTCCCCCCTCTTAGATCTTCCCCCCTCTCAGAACTTCCACCCTCTCCTAGAGCATCCTCTCTACCCCTTGTCTCTCCCCTCCCCCATCACCTCAGGCCTTGTCGCGTGCTGGGTCTGGCAGCTCCAAGCAAGACCTTTCACCATCCCTAATAAACCCTATATTCTAAGAGCAGCCTTCAGAGATCTCTGGTCTCCATTCATCGAAGCCATCCAGGAGCCCAGCATTCCCTACACCTCCCTTCAGTGGAGCTGCTGCAGGTGAGGAAAGCACTGCCGAGCACCTCGAGGTGCCTCTGGGCTTCCATTGCCTGTGGGGCTGGCACAGACCCTGTGCTGGTACCCACAGGGACCGTGCTGGGGCAGCGCTGTCCCCCTGCTCTGGCTGGCAGCAGGGGCTGCAGAGAGCCGGTGCCAGATGCCCCTACCAAGGGGTGAAGCACTAAGAGAGGACTGACAGGAAGATTGGGGAGGGAGACCAGGACCCAGCCACCCAAAAGCTCTCTCTGCTCTAAGGAGAAGGCAGGAGGGTCAAGTATCTCTGTTACCTGTATCTGTGTATCTCTGTTACCTGCAACCCAGGGATGCACACCTGGCCATGGAATTTTCCAGGTGTTGCCAGCTGGGATGGCAATGGTGGCAAAGGCAGCATTGAAAAATACTGTGTAAGGGAAGGAACAGTATTGAGATCTGTGGCCTCAGTGACAAAACCAATATATTTTAAAGTGTTGCTGTAAATCTCAGTCCTCTGTTCCTCCACAAACAAAATCACGTGGAGACATCAGGAGAGTGATCAGGCACTTGACAGATGCAAAACATACTGAGTCATGGAGAACAGGGGCAAAGAGAAACTGTGCAACACCAGACGGCACTGGCTATTAATTTGAAAACAAAAATGTAATTGGGAGTTAATCATTGGTCTTTCCTATATCACAAATCAAAAAACCATTTCAAAATCCCTGAGTGGAAGACAGAGCCCAGGATGAATGAGGTGCAGCCCAGTAACCAGGTTTTATCCAGGCCAATAGTGATCAGGACACATGAAAATGTTCAGGACTTTGCCACTAGCCTTTTCACTGGTGGGGAAGTAGAAAACCCATAACTGGGCAAAATGTGGCTTGGAGCTGGAGTAACCAAGAAACTGGGTCTCAACAGTGCAGTCATATGAGAGTCCAGTGAAGTGGGTCTGCTGTGAGAGGTGCCCTGGAAAGGCTGTTCAGCCTTCTGGTTTGGCAAGCTTAGAGAGGAATTCTGTGGATTTTAAGCTCCTACTCACAGAGAGCTTCTCTATTGAAAGCATCGTGATTCTTGGTTTAGACTTCAGTGGCATTTTTCAGATTGACTTTTAAGGCTAACAGAAGGGGAAATGGGCTCTTGTTCCTTCAGGAGACGACAGTGTAGTTTTAAAAACAAATTATGCATGAGGACTAATTAACTTGGCATTTACAGCTTAACATTCTCCTGGTTAAATTTGCTCCAACTGAGACCACGTTTTGTTGCAAGAAAACTTCTGCCTGGCATTTCCTTCCTCATGCTGCTTTTTAAGCTGTGACATTAAGGTCACGAGCCACCTTCCAACCTCCTGTTCAGTGACTTCCAGTGAAGTAGTGAGTGAAGATCTCAGGTTTAGCTGTGAGGGCTGGGACATGTCTCAGTGGAGACATCTTTCTTATGGTCCAGGTCAATGTTCTAACAGCTAGAAAGTGCCTACTGGGTTCACCTGTACCTATCCAAAGAGCATCTGAGCACAGTGGCAGCTGAAGAAAAGCTGCTTGGAGAAAGCTCCAGCACAATGAATCACTGTAGTCTGTACAAAGGGAGTTAATAGGATGCTCTCATTCACAAATTGTATTAGAAGGCACTGATGACAATGAGCCCACATCAGCTGCTCACCCTGCACTTCCGCTCTCTGCCATCCCAAATCAAGTTAAGGTGATCTAGATGTACCTCTTATTGCTTCTGGAGAAAAATGTGTCCTGTTTGTTCCTGGGGGTCACAGGTAACCAGTGCAGCAGAGGCCAGACTCTGTGAACTGCCACGTTTGCAGGGAGGCCAGTGGGTCAGTCCCAGGGGTGAATCCCCAAGGCCTAGATCCAGGAGTGAAGCTCTCAGGACTCTGCATGACAGGATGAAGGGATAACATGCACCAGCCTTAAGACTAGTTTGTGGGAGGGCTGCAGGTCTACACAATGTGCTCATGTGCAAAGAGAAACCTTGAGTTTCTCTCAGTCTTTTAAATTATTTTCTCTTGATTTTTTAAGCCTGAATGGACAAATCTTTGACCAGCAACGTCAGTTATTTATCTTCCCTATAATTCCCACAATACGAAACTATAAGTGGTGATGGTGGGTAAACCACCAGATCCAAAGGACACAAACACAAGTCCCAGATAAAACCCTCAGTTGTTGTACAGCTCAGAAGCTCTAACCAGGAGTCCAGTGTGTTAAACACAATACAAATGGAATGGACTCAGTGTCCAGCTTTTGAGGCAGATGAGGTAAATTAGGGCAACTTGGACAATGAAAAAGAGAGGCAGGATGGCAAAAGGAAGGACACGAGGTTTTAGTAGAATTAACTGTGTGCTAAAATAATCCTTAGGAGACTGGTTTTAGTAACCAGCTCTCCTGACAAACCCTTTGCATGGAATATGCTGCTTACCCATCACAGCTGCATTTAGGTGTAGAAGCAGCCTCCCAGGGAGCACTGCTTAGAATGAAGGTAAGTCTTCAGGTAAGTCCAACTCTATGGCAGGAAAAACAAGACTGTGCGTTTAGTAGAATCACCTGCATGCACGTACTGATCTCCCCAGAGATCCTGGCTGCTCACCAGCACTAAGCCACAGGCTGGCCCAAATGGCTTTCAAAGAAAGCCACCCAACTCTCTCTGAGGAAGGCCCCAAATTTTAATCTTTTAATTGATGCAGCAAATCTCTTTTCTGCCCTTGAGCTGAGAGAAGTGGGTGCTCTTGTCAGGCAGAGAACAACCAGAAGCACATCTCAGAAGCACATGATGTACTGAATTCTCTGTAGACTGCTAATGATGTTTGATTAATTTTTATTATTAGTGTGAGCAAGCTTTGAGTTCTCTCTGCATCTGTCTTATTTAGAGTTGTCTTTTCTTTCTTAGTTAAAAAGCAGCTTCTACAGACAGTGATCTAATTGTTCCTCAGCACCTGCTTGAAGCTATCCAAGTTAAGGATGGACACTGTGTAATTTGCAGGACACGTGATTGGGTCTTTAAGGCTCAGATCAAATAAAATGGAATAGAAATGAGGCAGTAATTGAGTTAAGTGGAATGTACTGTGCAGGCTGATGCTGGGGTCACAGAAATCCTTGGGCTGGACAACACTGACAATGGAACAAACCAAAATATGTGTGTTGTGGCCACCCAGCAGCAGGATGAACAGCCTTCCAGTGAATATCCTAAACTCAATAGCCCACAGAGCTTTCTGTCTACTAGGCAACTGGCTTTTGTAGTGATTTTATCCTGAGTCTTTGCTGTGTTGCAAAACTCTTCAGGCAGGGCCCAATGAGTTTAGGTGCTGCTGTTGAGATAAGTGCCCATGATGAGCTGTGTGCTGTCACCTGTGCCTGTTACCATCCTCAGGTGCAGCGCAGGGAGCTCCTGTCACTCACACCTCACAAAAACCTGTCCTGGGCAAGGCCATGGCCATGCCAGGACAGAGAACTTCACTGTCACAGAGTTGTTAATGAAAGGGGACAGATAATCTTATCCTCATTCAGCTGCAAGCTCCTCTCAGTTGGGTAGTCCTGGAGGAGTCCTTTTGTGAGTCCTAGTAAGGATCTCAGCCATTTTTTGGTTATCAAGCCTAATTTTGATTCCCTTCTAGCCCTATGACAACATGCACCTGTTGAGGCAAACACTGAGCAATTGGGAGTGCTACAGCCAAAGCTACACACTGAGCTCTCAGTTTACATATGAAAAGCTCAGAATCTGTACAGGAAAAATGTTAAACAAAACAAAACAAAACAAAAAAACCCAAAAGAATATAATCCTCTACCTCACTATAGCATTACACTAGACTGGCAGGCAAGAAGACTTATCCTACTTTCCTCCACCCAGCTTCAATGCCCTCGTCTTTATGCTCCATATTTCTCATCTGCTCCTGCTCATTTTGCCTGAAGAGCTGCTGGTTTGATCAGTCTCAAGGCATTGCTCATGGAATGCCAGGAGACACACAGCATTTGGAAGACAGGCAGGACATGAAAGCAGAAGAAAAGCAGATTGTTTTGCCCAGAGCATTAGTCCAAGCAACTATTTGCCATCTACTACATGAAATCAGGAGTTACTTGAAGTGCTGTTAGATATTAATTCACATCAGCACACAAGGAGAAGCAGCACCAAGGAATTAAAGAATATAGTCCTGGAGCCAGCCCACAAGTCATTCCTGATTGCATTCCCGAGGAGCAGCGTGCAGCATGAATGGCAAACCAAACTCAGCCATTCTCCCCGTATCTGAGCTCTGGAGATCCTTATACCTCTGCTCTGACGATCAAAATACCATTTGCTATTTCAAACAGATCTTTCTTCTTGGAATAAGCTTTCGGTAATTAAAGGAAGAGGCGTTATCTGGGTTGAAAGCTGGAGCCTGGGCGCGCTGTCGGGCGCGATGAGGCAGTCAGGGGGAAGCTGGCAGAGCTGCTTTGCAGGGTGTTGTCATGGGAACAGAGCAAGGAGGGCATTCGCTGCTCCGCATCCTCCTCCCAAAATCGATGCTTTTCGCAGCGCCGGCAGAGCTCTCCGGCTGTCTCAGCAGAGATTGGACCTGAATGAACCGCAAGGGCCAGAATCTCGCTTTGTGTGAAAGTGGTGTCACTCCTGATTTGAGTGGAAGACTTTGGCGCACATTTTAGCTGCCTGTGAATCTGGCATCCGTAATGGTCAGTGGCAGCACACAAAGGGTTGAGCTTGGTCAGCGAGTGCATCACCATAGTGGGCAAGCTCAGAATGTAAAGTATTGCCATAGTGTCAGTGTTTGTGGTCATCTGAAGTGTTGGACTCACCTTGCACAATGCTGTCTTTGAATGCAGCTTACTTCCTCTGTGCAGGTCTGTGTATGTGGAATTGTTGGAATTTCCTTTATGAGAAGTACTTTGTGTGATGCTGTGGTTGCTAGGGACAAACAATGGTAGTGAATGGTTTCCTGGATAAAGAAGAATACAGATTTCTGCTCCTTCAATTACTAGGAATATGTAACTAAAAGAAAAAGAATGCTGTTAATGTTGCACCACAGAGATCAGTGGAAGTAGAATTAAATGCAATATGTAAGAAAAGATCTGACAAAGGTTGAAAATGCTAACAGAAAAAAGAGCAAAATGCAATTTATTGCCTCCAAGCTTTCATTTTGCTTTGCCCAGGTCTGGTGGCAAAGAAAAGATCTTCTAATTAAAGCAGGCATCTGCAGAGTAACTGCACTGCTGCCACTGACCCAGGCCAGCAAGGTGCTGAGTGAACACTTCTCATTTCCTATCCACAACAAAGTGTGAATGAGGGGCCCGCAGCCATCCAGGGCTTGCTTTGGAAAAGTGACCAAAATAGCAGGCAAGGGAAGAAAATGGAGCCAATGCATGGAGGGCTTCCCAATTTGCTTTCAGTTTCCAGAGGTCATTGAAAACCCCCTCTGCTTAGCAACAAGTTTGAGGCAAGTAATGATAAACTTAGCCACAAAAATGCTTGGAGTTGTATCATAAACATAATCTTACCTTGTCTTTAACCTCTCTCTCCCTGGCTCTGGTGTTTCCATGCAGGCTGCAGCAAAGCCTGGAATGAAATGGCTGGCACTGGGTAGAGCACATTCTGGATTCATAGTGACTTTATCCTAGTTCTGATCCCTTTGAATATAAAACAAGAAGCATGAATGTATTAGAGCAATCCTTGTGGATTACTCTGTGTGAGGAAGAAACTGTGGTTCCTTTTTGGGCATGTTTGCCTCAGTGCCTCTAAGCAAAAGCTCTCTGGGGTAGAACAAGGAGCAGCAAAGTGTGTGGAGAGGCACTGACCTTGTCTCCCCCATGAGTAATACATGCAGGGCATCTGAGGTCTTGCTGGATCAGGGCTGGTAGAGACTATTTATAAGTTTTGGATGAAACAAACAAATGCAGAAGCTGTTCTTTGTGCTGCAAGGGATGAAGCCAGAGTTGTGGACTTAGAGACCATGGTTAAAGAGCTGAAGCCCCTGTCTCACCCACAAGCTGCTGTTCCTTGTATTTGCAGCATTGTCCTTTGCTGAAGGAAGGGGCATGGAGCAGGAATTGCACTGATAAGAGCATGACATATGCCATGAATTAAAAATACACACAGAACAGGGCATGCTCCCCATGTATGTGATGTGGAGACTCAGCGGCTGCAGTGTGTGAGAGCCCTGACTGACCTTGCATTAGCACAGAGGGACCTTGAACTCTTACAGCCCGCGGAAAAGTCAGGAGTGGATTCACCGAGACAGAAAGATAAAATAAATGCACAGCTTTTTCAGCACTTCCCTCCATTTGCTTCATATCATAAATATCAATACAAATATAGAAATACAGAGGTAAACAGTTTGCCCAGCCTGCCCTTTCCATATGCATGCATTTCTGCTGTGAAAGGCTTTATGTAACTCCTGACAGCAGATTGCAAAATAATGCCTTGGTTATGGAAGGAAGCCACGAGCCATTACATTGCATTACTATAATGTAATGGGTCCCTGAGATGAACCAGATTTGGAGAGCTTGCTTTTATTGTAAACCTTGTACCCCGTCCAGCCCACTGGCATTGATTTCTCTTGTTTTCTCCAGAGATCAAAGACCACGAGGCCGCAATAGCAGCTAGACCAGAACTGAGCCACTGGGGTTTTGGCCCCAAACAGAAATCTGTGAGACAAAACTGTGCTGTTTGTTTGAAGGGATGCAATACTAGAGACAGAACTTATTTAGATGGATGCTGATGAACAATCTGCTGAAAGGTGAATTTCTCATTAGCCTAGAGAATTGACATTGTAATTAATCTCTTCCTATTTTTTTTTGCTAAGTAAAGGCTGCTGTGACAAGTGCTGCCATAATTTTAAATTTTTAACTGAACATAGGGAATAGACAAAAAAAAGAATCTGTATTTACTTTGTTTTTCTTCTGTGCAAATGTCACAACACTTTCATGTTGGCGATAAGTGCAGAAGTGCTGATTCAATCACTTATTTACATAATCCCCTCAGATTATTTTTTTGTATCATTGTTGATAATGAAAAGATTTTCTCAGCTGGGAAAACAAAGGGAAGCAGGCAAGTTCTGAATATGAATAGGCTGAAATGACATAAAAAGATGGTAATTTGCATTAGTAAAAATAATCATAATGTGGATGACTGAAATGATGGTAAATAGCGTCTATCCCTACCTGTCCTGAGGAATATCCACCCCACGAGAGTTCAGCTGCAGTATGTGGAGCAGCCCTACCTAACAACCTGGAACTAGGGGTGCCCTGACAGTCCCAAGCACATCCTGCAAACTGACACCAGGAACCTGGAATGGTGAGCTTTGTTTCACAGGGAAAAGGGCTGGTGTTTGTGAGCAGGGTCCTGGTCGGACGGCTCCAGAAAATCCGAACAGCGCAGGATGTGTCCCAGACCCAAGCTGCCAATTGTTTGACACAACACAGCAGAGTCCAGTGTAGTTACCACAGAGCATCAAGGAACTTTGCAGAGAGCACTTTTAAAATACTCACATTCACATGTGAATCAGCGCAGCACAGTAAGGAGGAGCAGAGGCACAGCTGAGTGCCCTGCTGGCTACAGAGACTGTGTGGTTTTGGGAAGGCTCCTGCAACAGGGAAGGGAATGCAGGAGCTCACTCTGCACATACACTGCCTGGAAATATAGAGCTCTTGATAAGCTGTTTTTGTAAGATGACTGAGCAGGAAAGATGTGGCCCTGGAGCAGCTGCCCTGCTTAGAGATCCACACAGCCTGTGTTGTGCCTTTGTTGCCGGTTCTTGCTTCCAAAAGCCCGGCTCAGGCTGTGCCCCAGTAGTTCAGGAGGATGCACCTCCATGGCTGGGGGGACCAGGGCTGCCTCCTCCCCAGAGCCCCAGAGGCAGAGCCCTTGAATGACCAAAGACACTGCCAGCAGCTCTTGGGGGTGTGTGAGTATTGCTAACGGAGACAAACATGGGAGCAAGTACAAAACTGTCAAACCTGCAACTTGACACAGCACACTGACAGCAAAGTGCAAGGTTTAGCTTAGAGAGGCTAGGGTAGAGCTACAAACCTCAAACAAATCTTGTTATTAAAGCAGTGTGTATGTTGTTTTTAAAAAGCAAACTGGATGAGAGAGCTCAGCTCCATTAAGTTGAAGAGGATTGGTCCAGTAAGAAGCAGGGGAACTGCTGCCACTGAAGCTCGTACTCTGATAATCCAGTGAGAGCTCTCTTGAAGATGAAACACATCTTTAGCCCTTCTGGAAGATTAGCAAACTGAAAAGCAATTATAGTCACAGCAATAATTTAATAATTTCCTTAAAAATCAAATTTTAATAAAATTTTTAGCTGTCTCTCCCCCTTTTAAAACTGCAGTTTATCAGTATTGCTTTTGATACTGCTCTGCTGACATATACACTTAAAAAATGAATTGAAACAAAACTGAAAAAAATTCTAAATGTTAAGACAGAAACTCCCAGTATTCTTTTCTTAATAATTCTTTCAGGAGCTTTGCTTACCTAATCACTTATTATTGTTTTATAGGGGAAGAATGGACTCATCTTCTGGAATAAGTAACCTTTAGCTCCTGCAGCACTAAAAGCTTGTGGCTCACAAGATCCTATTTAATTTTTTTTGGTGTTCCTGGTTTTGAGGAAGCTCCAAGACTGGGCTTGAAGGTCCCAAAGGCTGTTCCAGCCACCTAAATAAAAGCACATTTATTATGTGTGTATCAGAACTCTCTGAATGGGTAAAAAAAAAAGTTAGTTTATCAGGCTCTCTTTTCCTACACCAAACTCTTCCAAAGGCAGTGATGCCTCTGAAACTGCATATTGTTTACTTCAGCTCAAAACGTGATCTGTGTTTTTCTAAAGATTCAGCATGTTTTTCAGCTCAGCAGTCAATCTGCCCATTGTAGACTATGGCTGTGGGTGGTGGGGAAGACACAGAGCCACCTTCGTGCTTCAAAACACTTCCCTTGCAGATACAGCCATTAAATAGACAAATTGTTTGGCTAAGGCTGGAACCTGATGTACGCTCATTAGAGTCTGCTGGCAATTTCCCCTAAATTTTAAAGAAAGGTGTTTTGTGTTTCCATAGTAACTCCAGCTCCTTTCCTGAGCTGTCTGATGCACTGCTGGTATTACACAACCTATTGTATTAGGAGGCAGTGAAGAGCAGCGCTGAAAAGTCTACTGAATTTAAGGATTATGAAATTACAGCCACCAAGTGGGGGCTGGGGAGAGGGAGAGGGCAAACAGAGCAGCTTTGGACCACAGGCAGTTTTGCTACTTGGGAGTTTAGACAGAGAACCAGGGAATTGTAGAATGGTTTTGGTTGGAAGGAACCTTAAAGACCCTCCTAGTTCCAACCCCACTGCCATGGGAAGGGACGACTTCCACCACCCACTCAGAGCTCCAGCCAACCTGGCCTTGAACAGTGCCAGGGATGAGACATCCACAGCTTCTCTGAAAAATCTGTGCCAGCCTCTCAACACCTTCACAGTAAAAAATTTCTCCCTAATATGCTACCTAAACCTACTCTCAGTCTGAAGCCATTCCCCTTGTCCTGTCACTGCTCCTGTAAAGAATCCTTCTCCACTCATCCTGTAAGCTCCTTTCTGCTACAGGAATGGCTGCAAGGAAGACAGAAGGTATGGGAAGGAGGAGAAGGAATAAACAGGCTGAGTCCCACTGCCTGCTGTTCCTCTGTGGAGCTCTCAAGGGGGCTGAGATGGGCCCCAGCTGTTTCCCAGGCTAGGCTCAAACCCTTATTCAGCAGAGCCAGGGACAGGCTGGGTCCAGCCCTGGCAGTGCCAGCTGGGTTTGGGGTCTCTACACAAGGAGGGAGATTCACAGATGGCTTCATCTGCCAGCTCTTGGGGGCCACAGCTGGAAATGCTGCTTCTCACCAGGGCTGGCTGCCCTCTGCAAGGGGGTGATCACAGCTCTTGGGTGGAAATAATTAATCACATGACAAATGAAGAACATTGCTGGATTTCCAGAGAAACAGCTGTCTATCACGCATGAAGATTTATAAAATCGTGTGTCCAGATGTGTAAAAACTGAATTATATGCTGCTCACACACTGTGTTTAGAGTGGTACTAATAATAATTTCTTGGAATAAACTGATTCCAATAGGGTCAAGATTGGGGAACCACAGGTTAGTCAGCCCCACCTCTCTTTAAAAAAGGACATGTTGATACTAAAGTGTGTCCAGAGAAGGGTAACAAGGCTCCTGAAGGCCTCGGGAATGTGTCTGACGAGGAGCGCTGAGGGAGCTGGGTTTGTTTAGCCTGGAGAAAAGGAGGGTCAGGGGAGACCCCATCACTGTACACCTGGAAGGAGGCTGCAGTGAGGTGAGACCTGGTCTCCTCTGCCGTGCCTGCAGTGAGAGGACTCAAAGAAATGCCCTCAAGCAGGGCCGGGGATATTCAGATGACATACCAGAACAAATTCTTTCTGCACGGTCAGGCATTGGAATATATTGCCCAGGGAAGTGGTGGAGTCACCATCCCTAGAGATGTCCAAGGGGTTTCTGGAGCTGGCGCTGGGTGATACGGTTGAGTGGTTGGCATGGGTGACCTTGGCAGTCTCTTCCATCCCTGCGATCCCACGACCCCAGGAACATTTTCCTGCCGGCCGGCCCGCACCCGGAACCATCGTGCGGCGCGGCTGTTCCCGCGGGGACGCGGCCCCGAGCGGACGGCGCCGCACGTGATGGCGGCGCAGGCGGAAGTGATGGCGGCGGGGGCCCGGCGGCGGCGCGGCGGCCACGGGCGGCGGTAAAGCGGCCACAGAGCGCCGGGGCCCGACATGGCAGCCCGCGGGGCGCGCCTCTGCCCGCTGCTACTGCTGCTGGCCGCACTGGCGGGGCTGGGCGCCGAGGCCAAGGTGAGCGTGGGTCACGGTGGTGCTGCCGGTACCGGGCCCTCCCTCCGTCCGCCACCCGCGCCGGGCGCTCAGTTTCCGCGGGTGGTTCCGCCTTCCCGGCCCCGCTGCTGCCCCGGGCGGCTGTAGGGGAAGGCCGGAGCCGGTGGTTTCGTGCGGGCGCTGCCCTGCCCCGCTGGGCGGAGGATCGGGGCCGCAGGTGCGGCCTCGGCGCCAGCCCCGGTTCCTGCGCTCCCCGTAAGATCGCGGGCTCGCGGCCGTGGATGTCGCTTTGCCGCGGTGCCCCCGGACACCGGCAGACGAAACTGCGAGTGGAGACGGAGCTGTTCCCGGGCTGGGTGGGGCTGAGCGCCGGGCCCGCCGCTGCTCCGGTTGCTGCCCGGGCTCAGCCCCGCTCCTGGCCTGCCTCAGTGTGTGCGGCTGCCACCGCCGTGCTCTGGCGCGGGCAGAGAACACCGCGCCTTCTACTCAGAGCACCCGCCTTGGAGTTCTCCCCAAACACGCCTGGATTTTCTCATTTTCTCCCTGTTGATGGTGATCAGCGGTTTGACTCCTGTGCGGCAGAGCAGAAGCGCTGTGGGGCAGGGTGTGGTACAGGGGGGGTTTCTGCTGCTCCCCCGAGACCCCCCTGCCCTGCTGCACCCAGCCCTGGTCCCAGCACAGCAGGGACACGGAGCTGCTGGAGCCAGGCCAGAGGAGACCGTGGAGGGGATCACAGGGCTGCAGCACCTCTCCTGTGAGGACAGGCTGAGGGAATTGGGATTGTTTAGGCGGGAGAAGAGGTGGCCTAATTGCAGTACCTGAAATCTGTAAGAGAGATGGAGAAGAACTGATTACATGGGCATGTGATATCAGGACAAAGTTTTACACTGAAAGAAGGTAGGGTTAGATTGGGTGTCAGGAAGAAAACCTTCTCTGTGAGGGTGGTGAGGCACTGGCACAGGCTGCCCAGAGAAGCTGTGGATGCCCTGACCCTGGCAGTGTTCCAGGCTGGCTTTGAGCAGCCTGGTCTAGTGGAAGCTGTCCCTTCCTATGGCAGTGGAGTGGAAACTGGATGATCCCTTCCAACCCAAAGCTTTCTGTGATTCTGTGCTAGGGCAGTCAGGGTTTTCCAACTGACCTGTGCTCACTTGGTGTTACTCTGACTTGGCTGCTCAGTGTAGGAGTTCATTGCCAATACTTGTTCACACATTGTTTTGTAATGCCACTAGAAATTGCCTTGAACTTTAGATAAGCCACGTTTATCCTTTGTCTATTATTGTTTGCTAAAATAAGCTTAGTATTCTTTCATTCCTTTTAAGCTCATCACTGTATCTGACAGGAAGCTGTCGTCATAAGCTGAATAGTTGAGTAATTGACATCAGCAATTTCTACATGTGTGGTTTTTCTTGGAAAGAGGAATGAGCTTAAACTCCCTTTTTTTTTCCTCTCAAGAATGTGTTTTTATCTCAGACAATAGTGTTACTCAACAAATTGCTCGCTTAGTAATTCTGAAGGGTTGTTCTTAAACTTATAGGAAGTCCTGAGTAAGAGTGTTCAAAAATACTTGCAAGTGATTTCTGTTAAGTAGTTCAAGTCTTATGTGAAGAATGCCTTCTGTACCATGATAATATAAATTACATAATAAAATAATTTGTTCTAAGCATGCTGTTTGCTTCACTTTTAGAACTCTGAGGATGTCCGGTGTAAATGCATCTGTCCTCCTTACAAGGACCACTCAGGCCATATTTACAACAAAAATGTTTCACAGAAAGACTGGTGAGTGTGTGTGGCAGATAAAAAATGATCTTAAATCTTACTGGTTAAAGCCTTGTTCTGTAGTGATTATGTATGGATCTCCTGTGGTGCTGCCAGGACAAAGCAGAGCATTTCCATAACTTACTGGAGCTTTTCCTTCATAAGTACTCCAGAATTCAGCTCTAGCAGGGGATAAGGCTTAAACCTTCTAGGTTTTGCCCTGTCTTCTGTTTTGGTTTGCTTGCTTCATGTTTAGTTGTTTATTTAGACTTGGAAGTAGTAGAAGGGAAGAAAGTGATGTGTTTTGAATCCAGTGACTTGGAATGGTGTAAAGCAAGGGGACACAAACCTGGAACTGGGGTTTGGGAGTTTTTTCTTTGCTTCCTCCACTCTTGAAAACCATCCCATTATTTAGGAACTGTTGTTTCTGGAGTTTTGTGAGGTTGCAATATATTTTGCCCTTTCTACAACTTGGAGAAGAAAAAATGGTGATATTAATATTTCTTCTCAGTAAGAGACTTTACTACTGTACTTAACCAACATGCAAAATTTCTGCAGTACTTGGGCAGTGTATTGCTACAAGCTTTCAGTCTTAGGAACAACATTTGCACAGATTGTACCTGGCATTTCTTTTTGATTTTTGTAGCTTGAATGCTGCATTCTTCCACAGAGGAAAATGTAGCTCTGCTTTCACATAAATGAGACAAATAAACCCTCCACTCCTCTCCAGAGGCTGTGAGGTGGCACTCAGCAGTTGCAGCTATGAAGAAGAAGAACCAAGAAGACAGAAGATGAGCTGGTGCCTGGCTGAGTGTTTGCAGCTCTGTAATTTAGCCCAGTGAAGTGTTGAGACCCGGGCTGCTGCTGTCACTTCAGGCCTTGTGTTTCAGTACCTGTTGCTTGGCTGTGCCAGCACTGAGGTAACCAGGAGAAAAGTGAAACCAGAAAGGATTCTGGTTCTGTCAGTGCTCTGCAGGGATCCTGAGGGTCTGAACTCTGAATAACAGCCTGAGTCAGCAGAAAGACCAACATTATGTAAGTTGTTGTTGGAAGCAGTTGTCTCATGGTAGCTGAGTGTTAATGCTGAGCTAAAGAG